AATTTTTTGAATAGTTTCGTCATCACATCCACCTTCATCATCGTAGAATTTATCACCACCATCACTAATCATCCCAGAGAAGGGGTTGTAGCGTGGTATCACGTTCAGTGAACAAACCTTACATACCCATAGACCATTGGTGGGGCAGAAACCTGCTGCTTTAAAACATTTAGTATGAATAGCTGTCCGACAGGCTTCACATTCCAGTAGGGGCTGCCCAATGTTGATGGGCCTTGAGCATGGCTCACAGACCTCCTTAATTAATTTCATGATCATAGTTATGTGTCGGTTAGGTTGGACCAGTGGATCCAACCCTCTGTGCTGACTCCCTAGACACCTTTTCCTTCAGAAACACACAGTTTTTCATGTGGCTTACAAACTTAGCTAAACCTCTACTTCCTAAGTGAATCGTGTCGTTACCCCTAGTGAACTTAACCGATAATAGCTTATTGTTATCTAAAAAACCATACATACCCTGAAACCAAATATTAGGAAAACAGTTCTTTATCATGTCCTGTACCAAGTTGTTGTAGAGCATTATATTTTTATTCATTTCATGGATTCTTGATGGTAAAACAGGTACAACAAAAATGTTAGTAAGTGGACACAATTGACGTATTTCAGTTAGTTTGTTCTTTAAAGTTGACACTGTCTCGTGGATATCTGAGACATTTCTTACGTTTTCACAGCGTAGATCGTTGGTACCACACATAAGGAAAGCGTTGGAGAATCCAGCACACAGGTGTGGATCGATGTCTTTGACACGGGCAGCCTTGACTCGTTTACCAGGGAAGGAATGACCAACTTTACCTGCACCATCCCCAAAGTTGACATCTTTGGTATTCGAATCACCGATTAAAACGATGCTTCGTCGAGACTGGCTGCTGAGAGATCTGAAGGTGATCGAAAATCTCTCCTCTGTTGGGTTATCATCAGGTAATTTTGGCACACCGTGGCGGGTACCAATTTTGTGAAGACCTTGTCATAGTGTAAAGTGAGTTAGACTTCACATCAAGCTCAATAGGATCTAGGTCTTTGTCTTGTTTGGATTCAAAAAGCACAGTTCTAGTCGCACCAATTGAGATCGTGACGATTTTCGAGTTGGCAAGAATAGTGGATTCATCATCAGAATGCATAGCTAGGTAGCTTTGGGATGGAGAGAGTCTGTCTGAGGAAGGGTAGTGGTTAATGAGGACCGAGTTTGGCTTGTGCTCGAGTTGTAGTTCTGAGGAGAACCTGTCAATAATAGAAACAAGTTCAGGTGGGATAGGCTCGTGTTCTTTAGGGGGCTGGGAACCAGTGTAGCTGTAGGGCTCTCCATACAGCCGGACGCTGTGGCCATTCTCTTCGATGAAGTCTCCAGAGTCCTTCAGATAACCTAGAAGGTCTCCTACACTGCTCAGTTCCTTGTCTGTCAGGTATAACTCTTTGTACTGCTCGTAAGGCTGTTCAGGACATTTTAGATTTCTTTTGGTGGGTGATGGAATAACAGGTCTAGGTTGTTCTCTGTAGTTAAGCTGAGGGGATGCATTTGTTCTTCCTTTGAACTCCTGAATTTCATTGTTAAGGTCTTCTAGTCGAGCATTCAGGGATGTAATGTCGACGCTCGGAATTGACCTTTCAATGGTTTCTTTAACTGATTCACTTATCTTCTGGAGCAATGAATTTTCCAGGAGGGTGCTCTCGTTGAGTTGAACTGCTGTGGCACAGGTAATGGCTTCTTCAGCAAGAATTTTTTCTTTTTTAGCAGATGGGTGGTTCTTAGGCCTAGGAAAGATGCAAGTGTAACACCAGGGACATAGCCATTTTTGGCTGATGCAGTCTAAATCACTCTGGGAGAGCTTATTGGTACCAGGTAGATTACCGCAAGAGGCATGCCATGATTGTTTACAGTCTGAGCACTGTATTACCCAGTCTTTTCCGTCTAGGGAACTGCTACATGGGCAAGAGGTCTTTTTAGTAGATTCTGACTTTTTCTTCGTCTGATCACTACTGTTTTTCTGCTCATTGGAGCTTGTTGAACTTGACTTGGGAGTAGTAGATTTGTTTGCGAGGGGACTGGCTTGTCCTCCTTTCGCCAGAGGACTTACACCACGTGGGCTTTGACGACGTTTGGCTTGTAGGTTCGAGGACTTCTGGGTGGGTGATCCAGAGGATAGAGTTTTCTTTTCTGTGTTTTTCTGCATTAGTGTATGGTTAGCAAGGAGCACATGATGAGATCGGGACCAGGGCACCATAGAACTAGCCAGCAGCCTGAAAATAAGATGATGAGAGTAAAAGAGTTTTGACATATGAGTGAGTGATATAAAGAAGAAAAGTAATTTGAAATCAAGATGAGCAGTTTTTAAAGTAAAAAGAAGAACATAGACTTATCAGATGAATGCAAAATGTGTTTTTGTGATGTGTTTTTTGCTTGGTGTCATGGGAGGGGCAAAAGGGCAAGGGAATGGAGGGGCGGGGAAGCGGGATGGGCTGCACTGGGCAAGGGGAGACAAATATTGTTTTTATTAATTTGTCTAAAGTAGATTTGTGTATTATTTTTAGGGTGGGCTGATTTTTTTGTAAAGAAAAAAGAGGAGTATATAATATATATATATAATACAGAACATGAATAGAAATGATTTTTAATGACGCATAGAGGTTAACACTACAACACTACTATAAACAATTATTCAAGAATGTCCATGCAGTCCAGAGTACCCGCAACAGGTAATGGGAGGGAGGAGGGAGGAGTTGGGCTAGGGTGGGGCAATGAAGAGATGAGTGGTTGTGTCTTGATGGAGGAGATGCAGATGTGACATGAATCTAAGAAGAACTCATCTTAATATCGAGGCTGATAACCAGTCTTCTGATGCCACTGGTCCCGAGAGCTCACATGCACCCCGTGCAAGTTGTTTACAGCTGCATTTCTTTAGGTTGCGGGTACTCTTGGCTTACATTGCACATCCTCAAATTATTTGTTATATAGTAGTGTTGAAAGTATTAAAACTTCTGTATTTGGTGAGAAGCTTTGAGATGTTGGTATACCAAGGAAGGCCCAGCATGATCTGCTCGTGAAATGCAGCACAAAGTAGTTCATTTTCGGTGCTTTCAAGGCGACTATAGTAATCTATTGCAAGTTTGCAGGCTTCAAAGAATAGGGGGTGGCGCCCACTTTCGCCCCAGCAACCTATATTTGATGCTTTTGAATGGACGGACAAAGACCACTTGATAAATTTTAGGTGGAATTTCTCATAGTGGTCCTGTGCAATGTACTTCAGGGTATGCTGGGGGCTGGCTTTGTCATCTATTTTTGAAAGGTATCTCATTGTTTTAGAGTGGGGGCATAAGACTTGACAGCCATAAAGCAGGATTGGTTTGATTAAGGAATCAAATAGAATATTAAGGGCACGGTGAGAGAGGGCATCTTTAACTATATTGCCTTTAAGGCCATATAGAGCACGGAGAGCTTTGGCCCTCAGCTCAGTATTTGCTGCCATAAAGGATCCATTTCTGTGGAATATTATGCCAAGATAGCAGTACTTTTCGGTGTGCTGGATGGGCTGACCTCCCAATGTAAATGTTTCATGGAACTGCTTCTTTTTGGGAGGGCTGAATATGACAATCTTAGTTTTCTTTATATTTACTTCAAGGCCCATGGAGTTACAGAAGTCAGATAGAATGTTGATATTGACTTGCAAGGCCTTGGGACTTAGAGCAAGAAGGACATATATGTGACTAAAAATGGCAGCGTTTGATCGAAAACTTAGTTCCAGCTCCCACTGTGCGCACCGATCGGCACAACCTTCGTTCGATTGGCACAACCTTTGTTAGATCAGCTAGTTACTTACTGGGCCGTGCTCAGCCTGTCATTCCACCTAATCTCTATTCGTTATGTTGTTTACCAACATTAAAGCCTGGGGTCCTCAGGTAACTAGTTACATGGGGAACCATACAAGCTAATATATTTATGTTCAAAAACATAACTATGTGTACAACTTGGAGGACTTCGCCGCTTCGACGCGCCGCGCAAACTAGCATTCTTGCTTCGCATCGTCGTCGATCGTTGCTCTGTTTCGCAAAGCAACGATCTCGACGGATTGACATCGTCAATCAAGTGTACAACGCCGAATAGAGTGTGGAGATTCGGTGGAATAACAGGCTGCGCGCCACCCAGTAAATTGGCAAGATACACCACTGGTCTCGTTGAGCTGCGAAGGATTGACGTCGTCAATTAATAATATTATAACTTCTCCCTATCACAAAAAGCTTGTGGTATCAGCTGTATAGTGAGGTAGTGGAATTTATCAGGAAAATGGTTATTTGACCTTTTCCAAGCGCACTGTCACCGATTTCAAAAATGAAAGAGGGCTCGTGATTGTCCTCAATCCAGCAAGTTACACATTTTCTCCATTACATGTCAGGTGTCCCTTCCACCTGAAATTTTCGTATGCCAGGTTAAAGTCAAGTCTTCTAACAATTTTTTCTTTTGCACCAAAGTTTCCTCCTGGACAGTAATTGCTCCAAGTTCCGACTTAATAATCTTCTTGAATCTAAATCAATCATGATGAGCATAAAGGATACCGGAAAAACAGTATACCGAATCAGTAATGGGAGGCATAAATACGTATATGCCTTGTTCCTTACGGATGATACCCGTAAATATTTTTTTATAATATGACCCGGCAACAAGGCCTAGCTTGGTGCACGGGTCGGTAGGCTATAAACCTACAATACTATAGTCTAGAGAAAATTTGTACTAGGGCCCTAGTAGAAATTCTATTCTACACTCTGGTTTAGAGATGTGGCTAAAAACTTTATTTAAAAGCAGAATTATGCATTGGTAGATATTGTTTCTCGAGTTTTAATTTTTAAGATGAAGAAAATGGTTGCATATTTCTTACAGAATTTTAAACGCAAAACTCTTTGCAATATAATGTGTTTAAAATAATAATTCTAATTCTAATGTGTGTAAATTTCCTCATACTCATTTAATTTATCTGATAATTTATTCCCTTCAGCTATGGCAAGCCTGATAAAAACTGCTGCTGTTGCAGTTGCAATGAGAAAGTGTCCTTTTTTATCCAATGAAGTTCTCTCATTTGCTTTGAAAAGTCGATCTTTGTCAATGTTTGCAAAGAAATGTCCAGTTATGAGTAAACTGATGACTCAGGTGGGAGCTTTGCAAGTGAAAAGATTTTGAACAAACAAAACTTTAATATGATATCATGTGAGACTTTGGTTGAATTGAATATTTGTCAAAATGTTTTATCCTTAACCTTTGATAATATGAATTTATGTTATTGCATTTATATACATGGTAAACAACTTCATTATTTTTCAGGGTGTTGTTACACTCCCTGCTACTTATGACTTAAAAGGTATTAAATCTTTAATTTTTTCTTTGTGATTGTGACTGTATTGAGATTAAAGAGATCATAAACGAACTAAAAAACGGGAAATCTAGTGACATACCTATTCATGTGATCAAGAAGTCGTGTCAAATTACTGCACCGTACTTAGCTAGATACTTTAATAAATGCATGCAAGAAGGCCACTTTCCCGACGAATTAAAAACTGGGAGAATCAGCCCCATTTACAAAAAAGAAGATGAACAGCTTTTAGAAAACTATAGACCAGTATCAACTCTACCTGTATTCGGGAAAATTCTAGAAAAGTTAATATATAAGCGGCTCTATAGTTTCCTTACTTCCAAGGGTATAATACATGAAAACCAGTTCGGCTTTAGAAAAGGACACTCCACCAGCCATGCACTGAACTACTCTGTAGAACATATAGAATCGTTAATTAGTAAAAAGCAACATGTCCTAGGGGTCTTTATCGATCTCTCAAAAGCCTTTGACACTCTAGACCACTGTAAACTAACTACAAAGCTAAACAACTATGGCATAAGAGGAAATGCTCTGAATCTTATCTCTAGTTATTTGTCTAATAGGAAACAATTTGTAAACGTTTTGGATACCAAATCTGATGAATTACCGGTTGAATTCGGGGTCCCTCAGGGTAGTGTATTAGGACCTCTACTTTTCCTACTGTACATCAATGACATATGCAATATAACTAAAAAGGGTAAATTTGTCTTATTTGCAGACGATACTAATATATTTGTCGCTGCCGATTTGAGAAATAAAGTATACGAATTGGCTAATGAAGTACTACAGGCCGTAAACAAGTATATGGGAGTTAACCTACTGCACATTAATGTAAAGAAGTGTTGTTACATGTATTTTTCTCCCTCTAAACGTAATAATAACGAATTAGATGCCGATATAGATAGCCAAAACTTGTCCATTAATAACAAAATAATTAAACGTGTAAGTCAGACAAAATTTCTCGGAGTTATCATGGACGATAAATTGAGCTGGAAACCACATATATCATCCCTCAACAAGAAACTAAGAAGTGCTTGTGGACGTATCTACCGTATTAAGAAATGCTTACCAGAATCACTATATAAGCAAATATATCATTCCCTCTTTGAATCACACCTAGGTTATGCTATTTCTGTCTGGGGAGGTATTCCCAATAATCAGTTAAAACCGCTATTTATTACTCAAAAGAAGTGTATCAGGATTCTATTTGGAGACTATGAAGCTTATGTAGACAAATTCAAGACATGTGCTAGAGCAAGACCAATTAATTCTCAACGTCTAGGATCTGAATTCTATGTTAAAGAGTCCACTAAGCCTCTATTCACAAAACATGAATTACTTGTTACAGAGAACCTGTACCGATACCGTTGTTTAATGGAACTTTTCAAGATCATTAAGTCACGAGTACCAATTTCGTTATACTACTTATTCAACATATCAAATAGGAAAGATAATCTGTTCATTACACCCTCTCCAACTAATCAATTTATTTATAAATCTGCATGGCTGTGGAACGAATTCCGTAAAGTTGGCCCGTTAAATTTCACCTCCACATGCGGATCTGTCAAGAATTTACTTAAACAGTCACTTCTAAGAGCTCAAAACCGGTATGGAACTGAGTGGTGTGACAGAAATTTCACTGAATTCTGATTATGAAGTGATATTCATTTGCCCGTTATTCCCACTTAAGCACTTACTGACTGACAAGCTTATCTATGATTACCATGCTTGAATTTAGGTAAACAACATACAACTCATTCCCAGTTACGCTGAGCGCAACCGCCGAATGACACAGTTATATGGGCACGCGCATAGCATTGCGCGCTTATGCTGTGCGCGTTGTCGGCCGAAACTTGGGAAGTTCCCGCTCTAATATTCAGACGACAGTGATGACTCATTAAGAGCACTAATTTCGACCACTTTCCCGGTCGAGCCATACCAAATCAAACTAATTGACCCACGTGTATAGCCAATGTCCTGGCGGTGCTGAGCCGATGTAAAACTCTTCTGTAAACTCTTTTGTCTCTTGTAACTTGTTTATATTTTATATTTAAGTTATACTGTGTACTGTGTACAATAGTTATAGCGTATAGTGTGTAGTGTGTAGTGGTTATTTTGTTGTGACGTGTCACTTTATATTTTGCTACCAACGTCAGCCTTGACTTACCATTTATTGTAATTGGTACAGCATATATCAAAACTAAAACACTGTTTTCGATCTGACGGGTGATGGGCTCTCTCTGATGGGACACGGTTCTAGGGGGTACCTGGGGTACGAGTTAACGAATAGTGTTCGTGTCCTTCCACAACCCCTCTCATTGTGTTTTTGACGGAGGAGAAGCCTAGTTCATCCGTCTGCATCGCTTAATCGAATTGAAAATTTAGCCAATAACAAACTAAATTACATGTTATACTGATAGCAGGTGTAGAGTTTATAACATACAAATTCTAAATTTTTGACGGCTGACGATGGTAAGTCGCTATGTTTAATTCGGGACTTTTATAGTTTTAAGTCTTGGAGCTCAAAATGTCTCGTGCTGTGGGCCGTATAAACGGCGCACACCACCGCCCCGCCTTACTGCTTACATTACTTCATGGTTGCAGGGCGGAGCTGGTGCCGTTTGTCTCGGCCTCGAGTGGCGAGTGCTTGCCCATCGAATACACAATTGAAACACTAATTATTTATTGGAATTCTACAGTTTCCAAAACGAAGTACGAGGATATATTAACTTTGAGCTTTGTTTTGGCGACTGCTTCATCGATGGGCGAGTAGGTATTTGTTGTTTAGCAGTGTTGAATATTGGAGCAATTATATAATGTATATCTCCATCATAATATAGGCTAGTGTAAACATATATAATCAATAACACAAACAAATGGTATTAGTAACTCGCTAGATTATAGATGTTATTTAAAGGACCAGTTAACTGAAAAATTTGTAGTCTCCAATTTGGCTAAGATTTAAATCAGCTGTGACAAACTGGTAAAGAATCGTATCGCCGAAAGAACCAACTCTCTAGCGTACGTGTAACGCGTGTTATTGCAATAATAAGCTGTGGCCTCGTGACGTCACGAAGTCCCTCAGTGCGCGCTGGCATATAGCGTAATACTAATACGTTGCAAATGTTTATCGTTGTCATTAAAACACATGTAACTCACTCAAATTTTAGAATTATGACTATTACCCTAGTTCTCCCAAATCCTTATAGTTTTGGCTATCATCCTAACTAAAGGAATAGCTGATTGGATGTACAGTGCTCACGTCATGATTTTAAACAGTGATATAGGTTCTTGAACAGTGGCGGGTGAATGTACGGTTAGAAAGTTTCTGCTATTACAGTTCTTATGTCATATGTGATAATTTCGGATTGTTTTCATTGCTTAATTACACAAGCAGCCAGCAGGGAGACTGTACCGATTATTTTTCCCCAGTCCATGAAACTCTAACGAATTTAGAAAGGATCTAGATAAGTAGGAGTTTGTTCAATTCCGAGAGCAATTATATTTATAGCATAGCGAAATTTCTAATTTTAATCCGCATGTGTCAGCCAGTACAGGAGACAAGAAGTCTGGCTACTTTACGGCCGTTCCTCTGGGAGTTGGGACCATCAGTAGAAGTAGCTTCTATCAGAACAGTGCCGTGGGAACAGAATTCCCGCCAAAATACCCGGTCTACCAAATAGTAATACAGATTGGAGTTCGAGTGTACGGTGTGCGGTGTGTTTTGAATTAGACTTGCGGCTTACCTAGTTGTTATCCTAATTGCATTATCATCGGTACATAACATAAATAAACTACTGGTAAGTTTAAATACCAAGTGCAAACGTGTTCAGTCGATCGACCCACTGAACAACTATAGAACTTCCAAGACCCTATTATTCTTTGGCCATATATTACGGCACGATCGATTGTTAGATGGTTAAAGTTAAACGACCAACGCTAATCTATACTATACACTAATCTATACTATACAATTCTAAAACTATGAGCTAGCACTTTAATCTAAAAATACACTTTTTATATTACTCCTGATTTTTACATTTCACGTAAAACATTGTCGCCACAGGTTGATCATGGACACTAACAGCTTAATTTGAGATAAATGACTTATGAGTTTCTCTAAAGTTAACTCTAAAGTTGTGCAGTCCAGTCATTTTTGGACATTTATGGAAATGAACCTGCAAATGTTCAGATACTAACGAAACTTTGCACAGACCTTCCCGAAGGTATGAATAAACGATTTTCGTTTGGAGACATTTTTTTGACAGTGGAGAAAACCCAGGAGGGCCACGCCCATATTGACCCAATAACGTAACCGACCCCTTGCTTCTGAAGGTCGTAGAGACTTCAAAATAGGCTTAAACGAAGCCACATATGCATGTTTATATAGGAGTTATTGAGCAACACATGGCCTAAAATCCATACTTTTCGAGAAATTCGCCAAAAACCATTTTGGGCGTGGTGCTGAGCCCATTTTCGATAGGATTGTGATAGAGTCTTTAGACAGGGTGCAAAAGAACCGCAATTAGCATATTAACATATGACTTACGAACAAACATAAGCCTTAAAGTGCTTACTTTTTCAGTTATTGGCGAAAAACTGATTTTCGGTTCCAGAAATCATGCAAAACTATGGGTATCTGGTAAATTGAGCTATGAAGGCCCTAAAGGTTTTTAAATGTGTGCAAATTGTGCAGAATGGCCATGTTTATATACAACTTATGAAGCAACATGTACCCTAAATTACTTACTTTTCGAGTTATTCGGGGAAAAACATTGTATTATGTCCATTTTCTACCTGTAAAATACAGTCTCACGGGCTCCTCTGCGCGCGCAAGGGACTTCGTGACGTCATCGCCAAAATAATACAAACGCTATTTACACGCGTTAGAGAGCAGTTAGAGATTTAGGAATTTCGACTCGTTGCTTAGTTTGCTATTTGTCACAATCTGTCAAAATATGAGGATAACTTTTTTTTCAGTTAACTGGTCCTTTAAACACATATGTTTACGTCAATTATTACTAAAATTAATATTCTTTTTGCTTTAATATAATTACATGTCACATAATGGATTAGTTGAACGAAACGTGTGCTACAAATGTCTACGCCTCACGCAAAACTGCGTACCGTACTTAGTACTTCATGCTTGAGCGGTACTGCGGTTGACAGTGGCGCGCACTCAATTTAATCACAAATAACGAGCGCGCGGTTTTTTGGAATCTCTCCATTATTATATTAATTAGGTCGCAGTGTTCACGGCCTGTACTGCGTGAACGACAGAAATATCTTTTAAATTATTTTGCTTCTGAAATTTTGGCTCTAGAAATTAAGAAATGTGACATGTAATTGTAAGATAACAATTAAATAGATCATGTGCGCGGCGCCTACAGCTGACCTACGAATTTCTGAACAATTTTAAATTGTGGCTGTGTGCGCGGCGTACTGTATATGTGTTTGAAATTGAAATTTGAATTTATTTATGAATATAACATTATGTATTGATTGTTTTGTGGTAAATAAAAATTTTTTCTTTCCTAAAATTTTTTCTTTCCTTTATTTAAAACTTTGTGACTTGACAATTTTTGACAATTATTGGATTTGATAGATAGCCAAGTACTAAATTTAAGTTTAATAATTTATAAGTACAATAAGGAGCTGATTTACATCAATTTAAGTAACGCAAGTTGTTTATTTTGAAGGTGAGAACGAGGCTGGTCCAGAAGAAGAGTTGAAATTGCCAACTCTTACTAAGCTGGAAGCTCCAACTCAAAAAAATGAGGCTCAACCTCTTCCTCCTAAATATGACTCCATTCTCAATGATAATATTGAGGCAAAAAAACGGGACTCAACCTACAGGTTTTGATGATAATTGATAATGATTTGACTACATTGTTAATTTCTTTTAGATTCTCAGTAATACCTAATTTATCATCTTACGTTATTGTTCACAGACCGATTTTGGGTACCTTCACTGATGTAAGAAAAAAGGGTGTTGATTGTCTTATAAAGAGGAAGACAGTTAGATTTAAAAAATTTTGACAGTAAATTCCCAGGACGTTCCAAGTGCTATCTCGGACAGCTGAAAAGAAGCCATACGCCATGGCAAGAACCACCCCACTGCAACTGGAAGATGAAGATGTGAGCGTGTGGTGTTCAAATGATTACCTTGGAATGTCATCTCATCCCAAAGTTACTGGAGCAGTTATTGATACCATCAACCGTCATGGAGTAGGTAAGTTGTTTCGCTCTCTTAAAATGTATGCCATTATTTGAAATTTGCATACCTTTTCTTTATGGTTTTCCCTTTTTACTTGATTCCTAGGTATTGTAATACTATAGCTCTTACAAATACTTTTATGCACATTTTCTCCTTTGTTTAATGAACACAATGCAACAAACGAATAATAATTCCTAATTTTCCTAAGGTGTAATAATATTATAACATTCAACTAAATAACAGGGGCTGGTGGTACACGAAGTATAGGTGGAACCTCTCACTATCACGTTGAGTTAGAGGATACTCTGGCTGATCTACATGGCAAGGTAAACTACTTGCTCTTGAATTGCTATTAGTATCAGTTTAAATGATTACTGCAAATTTACAAGTATTTTAAAGAAGTGAAAACGAAAATACCGCTGTTAACGGTGTATCAGTATGAGATATAGGAATTAAAATATCAAATATTGGAATTAAAATATCAAATATTGGTGAATTCGCAACTAGTACATGAATTTAACAACTTTCATAACGCAGGATTCCGCATTACTTTTCTCATCTTGCTATGTTGCGAATGACACAACTCTACAAACTCTGGGAAGAGTGCTGAACGCTGAGATTTATAGTGACCAAGGGAACCACGCTAGCATGATAGCGGGTATCAACAATTCTAGGTCAGCTTATACCTCGACATGAAGAATTCGTTATAACTTTGTATGAAAAACATTAATAGATATTGTAGGTTTCAACATGTATTTGCGTTATTTAATGTATTTGCGTGTTATCTAGATATCAGAATAGGCTTTTATGAAGTAATAACTAACAATATTTTAAGATTTAATTATTGATTAATAATGATTTACTTCAACAGAATGCCAAAGTTTGTATTTCGTCACAATGACTTGGATCATTTGGAGGAGCTTCTTGCGAAAGGTAAAAATATAAAATGAAACTTGTTCAGATTACTATTATACCTGACGCGTTATGTTAACTTGATAATTTCATCTAACAAAGCAATATAACCATTACTATTGTTTCATAATGCATCAAGTTAGATAATGTAAAACATCAAATTGGCTGACGGACAACTAGGAACCTTCCAATTTTACCTAGTTAACTAATTAACATGCAAGCTTGGGAAATCCAATCAGCCCCGACAACTAGGAACCTCTGGAGACCTGTCTTTCCGTCGAAGGGCTCGTCCCGTCTCGTGGAGGTGCAGGTAGAGGGGAGGAGGAATTCTTCTGAGGTCTTCGCTTCAGAGTGCTGTGCAGATCCGGACGCCTTGGCTCTACTGCGTTATACCACCCGAGCGAGGGCATGTTGAATTGAAACCGATACTCTTCATGTTCACGTTTCAGTATATATACCAGAAGTGCGGTTATATATTAACAGCTGATCAACTCTCGTACTTGTGATTGTATGTCTCGTATCACTCCCATTGCATGCTCGGCTCACATCCTTGGATACGAGAACCAGCCCCTTTCGGACCCGGCTCACGTCCGTAGTGTGAACCCATACCGAGAGCTCAAACACTTCTTAATATACTTTATAATACACAGCTACTTACTAAACTGTCATTTGAACCCTACCCAGGTTCTTGGTTGTCCGACTGTTAGGATGGTTATAATATGGATCACATCACAAATGATACGTCACTGATTGGGCCATGTGATGCGATACCTGTGGGAGGCCGGAATGAGAGGTTCCTAGTTGTCGGTCACCGATCAAATTGAACCACAAACGTTAATTTTCCCTAATTAGTCTTGCTAATTAGTCTTGCTAATCCCCCCTAAATTAGTAAATTGCAGGTGACCCAGATCGTATGAAGATAGTAGCGTTTGAAAGTGTGTATAGTATGACGGGAACTATTGCTCCTATAGAGGAACTATGTGATTTGGCACATAAGTATAACGCCCTCACTTTCGTGGATGAGGTACTGATTTGATTATTTCCTGTATTTAATTAGGTACTAATGAAGTATTGATTTTATTATTTCCTGTATTTTATTAGTTACTGATGAGGTATTAAACTGATTTGATTTGAAACTTTTATCAAAAAATGCATTGATATACAACATGGAGACAAAAATTAATGTTTAGGCTACGAAAATGATTGGACTGATTATTGGAGAGTCCGAATTATATTGTCATGTATTTAATTATTTGTTATATCAAGTTTTATGATAATACGTATATTCTGCCCCATTTTCTATACAACTATTGAGTGATTGTGTCTCGGTGGACCAAAGATTCTTAATTCCATAACGATAATGAGCTTGTACATTAATATTGTACTTCACGACAGGTACATGCAGTGGGTTTGTATGGTTACCATGGCGCGGGACTTGCGGAGGAGCGGGGCATGGCACACAAGATTGATATTGTATCTGGTACTTTGGGTAAATCTTACGGTCTGGTCGGTGGTTATATTGCTTCTACTGGTAATTGTTCAACAGTTGAACTGTTGTTTAATGAATTATATAATGTAGACTTCTATGATTATTGAACCAGCCTAGGCCAATGGTGTTAATAAAAAGAATTATTTTTCGGGTTCTCTAAAATTTCTTTTAAGCTTGATAAAGATTATTTCCATGGAAAATAAACGAGAAACAATTAATAAAAAAATAAAATAATTTCTCTCAGGACCTCTGATTGATGTAGTGAGAAGTCTCGGTTCAGGTCTAATCTTCACCACCTCCATACCACCTAGTACTGCGGCTGGTGCTGTCACTAGTATCAACATTCTCGCGCAGCAGGAGGGACGTGAACTGCGCCTCCGTCATCGCGCTGCGTATAATCTTCTTAGAGTCAAACTGGTATGTTTCAAACGTTTAAAAGTCTACTAGGTGGATTAGTAAAATAATCACTAAATAGTATATATTATTTTAATAAATTTGATCTTTATTCGATAACCTTTTTAACTTAATAGTAAATTAAAATAAAAGCACAATAATAAAATTCACTTATTTATTTATTAAAAAAGTAAAATCCTACAGTTAAAAGCTGGATTCCCGGTACTGGACTGTCCAAGTCACATAGTTCCTCTTCACATAGGAGACGCTCTAAAGGCTACACTCTGCATGGATACCCTTCTTGAGAAACACAAGCTCTACGTACAGGTATAATGTATATACTGATTATTTTTAACTACTTGTTTGATAATTAACGAAGACACGTTTTTGGCACGTTTTTGGCTTTTATGATCAATAATATTTTATATCAACTGAAAATTATCTTGCACCTCTGACCTCCTAAATATAACCAATAAGTTCCAATATTTATTACACGCATTAAAAATATACCTAAAAAAGAAACATTCAAGTGACCACTTCACAGGCGATAAACTACCCGACGGTACCTAGAGGAAGGGAGTTACTCCGTTTCGTGGCCACCCCCTACCATACACCCCGCATGATGGACTACTTGATCAGCGCGCTGGATGATGTTTGGAGCAACTTGGATCTGCCCAAATGTGAAAACTTTTCATTGAAGAATTAGTTATGTCATGTAGGAATTTGTTTGTAGAGTTTTTTTTTCTGAGTGAGCTTCATTATGGATATTACTATTATATATTTGATTCTTCATGAGTTTTTGGATGATAGTATTTTATGTCGCAACCAGTGATTTCAATGATAATTTACATAACATTATGATTTGATATTTTTCTACTTAAATATTTGGAAATTGTGCTAGTATTGTAAGATTGTATTCGTCATAGTAATGATAATTAATTTTATTGCGACCCAACTTTAGAAATTTTACGAGATTTCATCAGTTAATTATTATTAATAGATATAATTATATGTTTTATGCAAATCAAACTGCAAATTGTTTTGTATCATGTGACCCTTTTGGCCTATATCATATCTGAGATTATTTGTTATATTATATAGTATTTGGAGTTAATTAATGATCAATCAATATATTATATTGTGTCCTAACAGTGACCTGCAATTTGCTACTATAGTTAATTATATTCTTTTTATTTGTTTTCTTTTTTACGTAGAGATTTAACTCTTTTAAAGATTCTGTCACAATCCAACAAACATGTAATAGATTTTATGAGAATAACTGCTGTCAAGCGTGTCATCTTATAACTTAATCATTAAACAATTAATTACTTAACTAATGATCCCATTAAGATAATTAACTGAACGTCAGGATGGTGTCCCATCAATGGAGGAGGTTTGCTTTCTTCAGTAAGGAAGTTGTTAAAGATGAAAACGGGGACAAGTGGTCCGGTCTTCAGGTTAGTTTATTGGAAAAATTTTAGAACCGTCTAGAAAGTTCTAAAAGGTTCTAGAAAGTTCTAAAAGGTTCTAGAAAGTTCTATAAAAGTTCTAGAAAGTTCTAGAAAACTCTAGAAACTTCTAGAAACTTCTAGAAACTTCTAAAAACTTCTAGAAAGCAGCAGTTAACAAATCAACTTATTGTAATTGTCACAACTTCCCCTCAGTCTTTCTTTATTCAGCATATTATCATGGTACGAACATTAGTATCTCGTACACATCCGCCAGTAGACGCTTAATAAGATTTATTTTTTTAAATCAATAAACATTTAAAGTTAAAGATTAAAGTTAGTGATTATTGTATTCCACAGGATATAGACATAACATGTACAGCTAGTGGGAGAGGTAAACTACTGATTGGAGACAGTAAAGGTCACCTGCACTGTCTCACTCAGGACATGAAGGTTTGTCTCAATCCAACAAAATAAATCGTAGTAATATTATATATTTAATTTCTTTTAAAAGTGATTTTATTGCCATTCTATTTTATGTTACAGTGCATTTTGAGATCACTTAATTGAGCAGTGTGCTCCATCCTTTTGGATTTTCAGTTTAAAGTAAAGCTAATAATGTTCCAATAAAACTTAACTTAATTCCAACAGAACTTAACTTAACTTAATTCCACTAGAACTATTATATAACTCTACTAACGATACTACTAGGATGTGGAGGTCAGGAAACTGTACGAGACTCGTCTCACACATCTGGTACAAATACCTAAAGCTAAACAGAACATTGTGGTTACTGTCGGGGAGGACGAACCTGCGCATCCTATACTCCGGGTAATTGGTTAATTATTCAATTAATTAATTAGTTAATTTATTGATAAGTTAGTTAAATAAATACGCAATTAGGTAATTAGTAAGCTTAACACAACATAGTGGTTACTATCGGGGAGGACGAACCTGCGCATCCTATACTCCGGGTAATTGGTTAATTTGTTAGTTTGTCATTCAAGGTTAATATAAATGATTTGTAAATCAGTTGCTTCTTAAATTATTCAACCGATATTCATGAATAAAATAAAAACGTTCCACAACCAGTTCACATATTATAATAATACGTAGGCTAACAGTAGTATTGTACCTTATAAAATGTAACTAATTAACTAATTATATAATTAATCACGTAATCAATTAACTGACAGGTGTGGAACATGACCCCACGGTTAGCTGACAGTGGCTGTGTTCGTTACGTAGACCTGACGACCCTCTCCAAAACTAACGTTACAATTAACGTGACTTGTATTGTTGTCAGTGATAACATGTCTAACATGGCAGTAGGTAAATATCGTGTGTTTGCTTGTGTGTATGTTTGCTTGTTTGTGCTTGTGTGTGCTTGTATGTTTATGTGCTTGCTTGTGTGTATGTTTGTGTGTTTGCCTGTGTGTTTGTGTGTGTGCTTTTTTTGTGTGTTTATTTGAATGTGTGCCTGTATAATGAGGCTGCTTTTTTCTGAAATATATTGTATTCTATGATTTATAATTGTATGATAGATCAATTAATTAATTAATTAATTAATTAATTAACTAAGTATATTATTTCTGCAGGATTAGCAGATGGAACTGTGTGGCTGTTTTACAAACACGACATTACAAGGGAGCAGCGGTCAGTTCCCATATTATTATCTGTACTTATCTCTCTAGAGTGTTAGACATAACAAGGGAGCAGCGGTCAGTTCCCATATTATTATCTGTACTTATCTCTCTAGAGTGTTAGACATTACAAGGGAGCAGCGGTCAGTTCCCATTATATTATTATCTGTACTTATCTCTCTAGAGTGTTAGACATTACAAGGGAGCAGCGGTCAGTTCCCATATTATTATCTGTACTTATCTCTCTAGAGTGTTAGACATTACAAGGGAGCAGCGGTCAGTTCCCATATTATTATCTGTACTTATCTTTCTAGAGTGTTAGACATTACAAGGGAACAGCGGTCAGTTCCCATAATATTATCTGTACTTATCTCTCTAGAGTGTTAGACATTACAAGGGAGCAGCGGTCAGTTCCCATATTATTATCTGTACTTATCTCTCTAGAGTGTTAGACATTACAAGGGAGCAGCGGTCAGTTCCCATATTATTATCTGTACTTATCTTTCTAGAGTGTTAGACATTACAAGGGAACAGCGGTCAGTTCCCATATTATTATCTGTACTTATCTCTCTAGAGTGTTAGACATTACAAGGGAGCAGCGGTCAGTTCCCATATTATTATCTGTACTTATCTCTCTAGAGTGTTAGACATTACAAGGGAGCAGCGGTCAGTTCCCATATTATTATCTGTACTTATCTCTCTAGAGTGTTAGACATTACAAGGGAGCAGCGGTCAGTTCCCATATTATTATCTGTACTTATCTCTCTAGAGTGTTAGACATAACTAGTAGTATATAGTAGTATATATGAAACATTTGTCATGGAGTTGTAGAGGGAGTTATGTGCCTCGCCGGGCTAAAGTAGTGGATGACCTTGCTGTACGGCAAGTTAAACAAGGATCTGAAACTACTAGGTTCCGTACAGACTCAACTCTGCACCCGTGTCAATATGTTCATTATATGCAAGCCTCTTGATTTATAACAAGGGAACAGCGGTCAGACATTACAAGGGAGCAGCGGTCAGTTCCCATATTATTATCTGTACTTATCTCTCTAGAGTGTTAGACATAACAAGGGAACAGCGGTCAGTTCCCATATTATTATCTGTACTTATCTCTCTAGAGTGTTAGACATAACAAGGGAACAGCGGTCAGTTCCCATATGATTATCTGTACTTATCTCTCTAGAGTGTTAGACATTGCAAGGGAGCAGCGGTCAGTTCCCATATTATTATCTGTACTTATCTCTCTAGAGTGCTATTTTCAACAGTGTATTTATCTGTAATTATGATCCATTTTAAGTGACCTGACAACTGCAGCTCTTAATCTTGATCATATTATATTGATCATATTATATTGATCATATTATATTGATCATATTATATTGATCATATTATATTGATCATATTATATTGATCATATTATATTGATCATATTATATTGATCATATTATATTGATCATATTATATTGATCATATTATATTGATCATATTATATTGATCATATTATATTGATCATATTATATTGATCATATTATATTGATCATATTATATTGATCATATTATATTGATCATATTATTACCAGGCTAGGTTCTTATCAAACGGTTATTATTACAATGTACATTGTATATCACAGTAAAACCCCGATTTACTGTGGAGTTTGGGGAAAAGAAAGCATCCAGTGCATCAGGGGTCGCAGTTAATCGGGGTTTTGATTGTTCACATTATGTATGTTAACCCACATTTTGGGGTAAGAAATGGCCATGGTAAATCGTAAAAATCGGGGTTTTACTGTACTTCTTCTTAGATGAATACTGATCTTAACCCAATCTTCACAGATACAAAGTGATCCACTCGGACAAGGCGTCTATAACTGGACTGGCGTTCAACAAGGAAGTGGCATTGTTTGTTGCTACTGAAACTGCGGTGCATTCCTACAAACGGGTATACAACATTTAAATACTTACGTTATTAAAAATTAAAGAAAAGAATAAAAAGAAATTGCCAGAAATTAGTTGAATCACCACGAATATTGAGTATGATTTTTTTGTGATTTGTGTTTTAGTTTATCTTTAGTTTAATTTCGAGACGCAAGTTGGTTCACTTCACTGAGAGTGGTCGTAGCAACAAATATACAAAAAAATATATAAACAAATTTATAAAAAATATGTAAAAAAATATGTAAACATATCCCAGGTATCAGATAGCAACCCCTTGCCGACGTTTCTCTCCAGTGAGGGGTGTGGTCTGGGCCTGTCCCTCCTTACTGATCACCATCAGTACCATCAGTTCCTTATTGCTCCTAAGAATAAGTTCCTTTTCTTTACTGTGGACGATCCTGGAAATAACCTCCCCATGGATGGTAAGTAATACTTACGGCTCAGTAATATCTTGTAAGTAATCTCTTGTGGTAAGTAATCTCTTGCTACCTGATTTCATTTCTAGTTACAGTATTGGTTCCTATATTCTAAGAATCGAGCTGTTTGCTTATTTTTTTATTAAATACTTTTCAAATTTTACAGAGTACAGCAATAGATGAATATAAAATAGAATCGTTCAAAATATCGCCCCCATCTGTAAAATATGATGGGCACCCAAACACGGTAAACACATAGTGAACTATGTCCGCAGTAACTTGGACCCATTACATCGAATTAATCTAAATCCAAAAATTTATGAAAAACTATTTAATAACAAACAAATCCATGGTGAATAACTGTGGATATAGAGTCAAAATTGGTATTTCAATACGTCAAATTCCAGATACATTAGATACAGGTCTGAAATGGTCATTAATGTGTGAGAAGGTGTGCGGGTGAAGTGTGATATGATGTTGAAAGTATAGGAAGGTAGATAAAAAAAATTAATAAAACAAAAATAATAATAATATGGGGAGCAAAGAGACTAGGCTAGACTGTTGTTTCACTATCCAATAAACATTTCCTGAGATGCTTAGTGACCTCAGCTTTGAAAAGACTAGTAGACACTATCTGTCTTACCTGTAAAGGGAGTCCATTCCACAGTATATGGGTTCTGTAGAAAAATGATTTTGCCAGTGGGCTATTTGAGGTACATGTGGTGTGTGAATTCTGACTTAACTTAGGTAAAATTGATGACACAATAGACAGACTGTCGAGGTGGCAACGTCTTAGTCGAGAAGTGCCCTGATATAAAGAGAGATAGTGAGGCAGCGATTCAGGAATTAAATTGTTAAGAACTTTGTGGAAAAAAATAAGATCATTCAAGTCAAACTTTTGAGACAAAGGGAGAATGTCGACAAGCTTGCACTTTTTGACATATTGCTCAGGTGGATAACTGCGGCCCTCTTCAGACAGAATCCATTTAATAGCTCTCTTTTGGAGACTTTCTAATTTATCACTAAGTGCTTTATTACAAGGGCGCCAGATTATGGAACAATTTTCGAATTGGCTACGAACCAGGGAGAGGTAAAGCGCCCGGCGACGTTTCTGATCAATGACAATATGGCCATCTCTTCTGACCATACCAAGTTGTTGGCAGGCCTTAGTATAAATTCTGTCGCACTGACTATTCCAACTTAGCTTAGGAGTAACATCGACTCCAAGATCTTTTTCTAACTCTACATACACAAGAGGAGAGCCATCAAGATTATATGCGAATGGAGGAGATAAAGATGGTTTTCCTGAAACAATAAGCACTTTACATTTTGCTGGATGGAATCGCATTTTGTTTCTTAGTGCCCAGTCAGAGAGATAGTCTATATCCATTTGTAAATTAGTATTATCAGAAGATGAATGTATTTTACGCCAGATTTTTGTATCATCGGCATACAAAACAATATCAGTATTATCCGAAAGGCCAAGAGGAATATCATTGATAAACAATACAAAAAGTAAGGGACCAAGAATAGAGCCCTGGGGGACACCAGAATTAACTGAGAGGGTAGATGACATCTCATTACCAATAACCACTCTTTGGTAACGGCCTTGAAGGTAATTGGTAAGAAATTTGAGAAGTGTACCATCAATGTTATATAAGGTCTTTAGCTTATGAAGAAGGATATCATGATTTACAGAATCAAATGCCTTAGCAAAATCAAAATACACAACATGATTGATAATGTTTTCGTTAAGAGACAATGCCAGGCTATCACAAAAGTCAACCATATTGGTTGTGCATGACTTGTGCTCTAGAAAACCATGCTGCCTGGGATCAAGAAGGGTACTTGTCAAAGAAAGCAGTTTACGTTTAACAATGCGCTCAAAAACTTTCATGACTAAACAAGTAAGGGATATTGGTCTATAGTTTTCAACCTCACTTTTCTTACCTTTCTTAAATATTGGGACAACATTTGCAAGTTTCCATTCTTGTGGAATGTAGCCGCTGTTGTAAGATCCACGAAAAATGCATGTTAGAGGGTAAGCTAAACCTACGGAACAATTTTTGAGAATTTTACCGTGTATGCCATCTGGTCCCTGGGCTTTATTTGAATTAATATTTGAAAGAAGCTTACGAACATCCCGATGATCGAAGTCAATATCAAAATCAACATCATTGACATAGGAGATGTCAGTGTCATAAAGTGAAGGATCCGAAAACTGGTTATAAAAGAAAGAATTGAAAAGTTCAGCTTGAGCTTTGGGTTTGAACCGAAGCTGTCCAGAATAACTAACACAATTAGGAATACGGCAGGAGTTAGATTTATACTTAACATGTGACCAAAACTTCTTAGTTATAAGCGCTGGATCATCACTATTGAAAAGATTGTCTCTTATTTTGGCTGATGAAAGCCTCTTAAAATCTTTACGGCTAGTAACAAACTTTAACTCATCAGAAATAGAACCAGAAATTTTAAATTTAGCTCTGAGTCTATCTTTTTTACGGCATGAAGAAAAAAGTTCACTATCGAACCACGGGGGTTGAAACTCTGATTTAATAGTTACTTTAGGAATATGTATATCAACTAAATTCATAATGCAGTCTTTAACTAACTTCCAAGACGAATCAGGATCTAGGCATTCTAGGACTTGCCAATTAATCGAGCATAATTCACGATTAATCATGTCCCAGTTTGCTTTCTTATAATTATAGATTTTACGTTTAGGAGTTTTCTTGCGGGAAAAGGAGCTTTTAATTGAAAAAGTGACAGGAAAATGATCAGATTTGCACACGGAATGAGGATCACAGACATTCAAGTTATCGATCGTGTTATCATAATTACTGAGAAGAATGTCTAATGTATTACCACTTTTATGGGTGGGTGATGTGATCAACTGGGAGAGAGAAAGATCACTGAAAGAATCTATGAAGGATTGCTCAATAGGTACGGTACTGAATGAAGATAGCCAGTCTGTATGGGGGAGATTAAAATCACCAATAACATAGATTTTAGGGGGATTATTTTTGGAAACTAGCTTGCGAATATAACTAACTATGACATCATGATTAGGTAACCCAAGAGTTCCTACTCTATAACAAGTACAGATTACAATACTCTCTTTGTTAGGAAAAGCAATTTTAACGGCAAGCATTTCTGCACCTAGGCTAACTGGTAGTCGGGCTGTAGTGGCGTCGAGATCAGACCGAACAGCCTAAAGAACAGCACCTCCATTTTCCCTAAACTTTTTAGGGTTATTAGGATCTTGAGGATGAGTCTTTCTCGTGCGGTCATTGCGGAAGATTTCATATTGAGAAGAAGGAAAGATTTCGTTGCTAGAAATAGATTTTTTGAGCCAAGTCTCATTTAGGGCAATTATGTCAGGCTGCTCTATGTTAGCAAAGGATTGAAGTTCGGAAATCTTATTACCATCAAGAAGGGGATGGGAGGAGCTTAGGTTACTGAAAGGAATAAGACCTTGGACATTTTGGTAGAGTACAGATAGGGAGTTGGGACCTGGATTAAGCATAGAAGGATTAACAAGAGTTATCAAAAGAAAGTTAAGAGAGAAAACCCAAAGAATGAATAAAGAGACTAGACGCCTGAGGCGGCTGGAATACTTGGCTCTATTCATCTTACCAGGGAGAAGAACATTTCTTATAAACCACGAGGAGATAATTACAAAGAAAAGTTTGATGTGGGAGCAAGCAAGAAATGGTATAAGATAACGTGGGCTGTCAAGGAGTAGAGAGGAATGAATATTAGAATCTAGGGGGAGTACAGTGTTCATGGACCTAGTCGTGGAGAGAAGAATTGGGAGAAAGTAAGTCATGATGAGAGAATAGAAGAGAAACATATGATTATGATAATTGTAGTTGATGTGTGGGGTGCATGGAGACTTAAATGTGTAAATTTTGTTAGGTATAAACGTGTTGATATGTATATGTGCATTTCTTGACTGTGTACGAGGCCTTTTGCATGCAAAAAGACCTATTCTAAGTCTAAACGATTCATTGTCTAACATATGGGAAAATGGGCAGTGACCGAATGTACCTGAAATAGGAGGCATAAAATTGAGAAGAGATTAAATCAGAGATTTGTTTGAGTTTTAATTTTAGGCGCAACGTCTTAATCAAAATATTAAATGAAAGAAAAGATCAAAGATTTAAATTCCCAGAAGATTATTTACAACTCTGTCAAAACTGTGTTCGTTTACAACAAACTTAAGCCAAGTGGACAGTAAACCTACTCCTCTCATGTTGAGATGAAGCCAATCATGGTATAGAAGTTCATTACAGGATCTAAAGTCTCGAGTTAAAAAGTCTGAGAAACAGTCTAAGAACACGCAATTATTATTTAGGCATAACTCTTTAAGTAGATTATTAAAATCTAGAACAATTAAAATCTATTGCAATTTAAACTCTATGTCTCGTAAGTGATAACCCGATTATAATTCCAATCAATTAACCAAAATAATTACCCTATTTCACTATTTCACTATCTCACTATTTCACTAGTTCACTAGTTCACTATTTCACTGGGGATTTCACTATTTCACTACTTCACTATTTCACTATCTCCAGGTACCAGGTCCCACATAGCGTGGTACAGGGGATGTCTGGTGTCCGTCTCTTTCACTATTTCACTATCTCCAGGTACCAGGTCCCACATAGCGTGGTACAGGGGATGTCTGGTGTCCGTCTCTTTCACTATTTCACTATCTCCAGGTACCAGGTCCCACATAGCGTGGTACAGGGGATGTCTGGTGTCCGTCTCTTTCACTATTTCACTATCTCCAGGTACCAGGTCCCACATAGCGTGGTACAGGGGATGTCTGGTGTCCGTCTCTTTCACTATTTCACTATCTCCAGGTACCAGGTCCCACATAGCGTGGTACAGGGGATGTCTGGTGTCCGTCTCTTTCACTATTTCACTATCTCCAGGTACCAGGTCCCACATAGCGTGGTACAGGGGATGTCTGGTGTCCGTCTCTTTCACTATTTCACTATCTCCAGGTACCAGGTCCCACATAGCGTGGTACAGGGGATGTCTGGTGTCCGTCTCTTTCACTATTTCACTATCTCCAGGTACCAGGTCCCACATAGCGTGGTACAGGGGATGTCTGGTGTCCGTCTCTTTCACTATTTCACTATCTCCAGGTACCAGGTCCCACATAGCGTGGTACAGGGGATGTCTGGTGTCCGTCTCTTTCACTATTTCACTATCTCCAGGTACCAGGTCCCACATAGCGTGGTACAGGGGATGTCTGGTGTCCGTCTCTTTCACTATTTCACTATCTCCAGGTACCAGGTCCCACATAGCGTGGTACAGGGGATGTCTGGTATCCGTCTCTTTCACTATTTCACTATCTCCAGGTACCAGGTCCCACATAGCGTGGTACAGGGGATGTCTGGTATCCGTCTCTTTCACTATTTCACTATCTCCAGGTACCAGGTCCCACATAGCGTGGTACAGGGGATGTCTGGTATCCGTCTCTTTCACTATTTCACTATCTCCAGGTACCAGGTCCCACATAGCGTGGTACAGGGGATGTCTGGTGTCCGTCTCTTTCACTATTTCACTATCTCCAGGTACCAGGTCCCACATAGCGTGGTACAGGGGATGTCTGGTATCCGTCTCTTTCACTATTTCACTATCTCCAGGTACCAGGTCCCACATAGCGTGGTACAGGGGATGTCTGGTGTCCGTCTCTTTCACTATTTCACTATCTCCAGGTACCAGGTCCCACATAGCGTGGTACAGGGGATGTCTGGTATCCGTCTCTTTCACTATTTCACTATCTCCAGGTACCAGGTCCCACATAGCGTGGTACAGGGGATGTCTGGTGTCCGTCTCTTTCACTATTTCACTATCTCCAGGTACCAGGTCCCACATAGCGTGGTACAGGGGATGTCTGGTGTCCGTCTCTTTCACTATTTCACTATCTCCAGGTACCAGGTCCCACATAGCGTGGTACAGGGGATGTCTGGTGTCCGTCTCTTTCACTATTTCACTATCTCCAGGTACCAGGTCCCACATAGCGTGGTACAGGGGATGTCTGGTGTCCGTCTCTTTCACTATTTCACTATCTCCAGGTACCAGGTCCCACATAGCGTGGTACCGGGGATGTCTGGTGTCCGTCTCTTTCACTATTTCACTATCTCCAGGTACCAGGTCCCACATAGCGTGGTACAGGGGATGTCTGGTGTCCGTCTCTTTCACTATTTCACTATCTCCAGGTACCAGGTCCCACATAGCGTGGTACAGGGGATGTCTGGTGTCCGTCTCTTTCACTATTTCACTATCTCCAGGTACCAGGTCCCACATAGCGTGGTACAGGGGATGTCTGGTGTCCGTCTCTTTCACTATTTCACTATCTCCAGGTACCAGGTCCCACATAGCGTGGTACAGGGGATGTCTGGTGTCCGTCTCTTTCACTATTTCACTATCTGCAGGTACCAGGTCCCACATAGCGTGGTACAGGGGATGTCTGGTGTCCGTCTCTTTCACTATTTCACTATCTCCAGGTACCAGGTCCCACATAGCGTGGTACCGGGGATGTCTGGTGTCCGTCTCTTTCACTATTTCACTATCTCCAGGTACCAGGTCCCACATAGCGTGGTACAGGGGATGTCTGGTATCCGTCTCTTTCACTATTTCACTATCTCCAGGTACCAGGTCCCACATAGCGTGGTACAGGGGATGTCTGGTATCCGTCTCTTTCACTATTTCACTATCTCCAGGTACCAGGTCCCACATAGCGTGGTACAGGGGATGTCTGGCGTCCGTCTCTTTCACTATTTCACTATCTCCAGGTACCAGGTCCCACATAGCGTGGTACAGGGGATGTCTGGTGTCCGTCTCTTTCACTATTTCACTATCTCCAGGTACCAGGTCCCACATAGCGTGGTACCGGGGATGTCTGGTGTCCGTCTCTTTCACTATTTCACTATCTCCAGGTACCAGGTCCCACATAGCGTGGTACAGGGGATGTCTGGTGTCCGTCTCTTTCAATATTTCACTATCTCCAGGTACCAGGTCCCACATAGCGTGGTACAGGGGATGTCTGGTGTCCGTCTCTTTCAATATTTCACTATCTCCAGGTACCAGGTCCCACATAGCGTGGTACAGGGGATGTCTGGTGTCCGTCTCTTTCACTATTTCACTATCTCCAGGTACCAGGTCCCACATAGCGTGGTACAGGGGATGTCTGGTGTCCGTCTCTTTCACTATTTCACTATCTCCAGGTACCAGGTCCCACATAGCGTGGTACAGGGGATGTCTGGTGTCCGTCTCTTTCACTATTTCACTATCTCCAGGTACCAGGTCCCACATAGCGTGGTACAGGGGATGTCTGGTGTCCGTCTCTTTCACTATTTCACTATCTCCAGGTACCAGGTCCCACATAGCGTGGTACAGGGGATGTCTGGTGTCCGTCTCTTTCACTATTTCACTATCTCCAGGTACCAGGTCCCACATAGCGTGGTACAGGGGATGTCTGGTGTCCGTCTCTTTCACTATTTCACTATCTCCAGGTACCAGGTCCCACATAGCGTGGTACAGGGGATGTCTTGTATCCGTCTCTTTCACTATTTCACTATCTCCAGGTACCAGGTCCCACATAGCGTGGTACAGGGGATGTCTGGTGTCCGTCTCTTTCACTATTTCACTATCTCCAGGTACCAGGTCCCACATAGCGTGGTACAGGGGATGTCTGGTGTCCGTCTCTTTCACTATTTCACTATCTCCAGGTACCAGGTCCCACATAGCGTGGTACAGGGGATGTCTGGTGTCCGTCTCTTTCACTATTTCACTATCTCCAGGTACCAGGTCCCACATAGCGTGGTACAGGGGATGTCTGGTGTCCGTCTCTTTCACTATTTCACTATCTCCAGGTACCAGGTCCCACATAGCGTGGTACAGGGGATGTCTGGTGTCCGTCTCTTTCGCTATTTCACTATCTCCAGGTACCAGGTCCCACATAGCGTGGTACAGGGGATGTCTGGTGTCCGTCTCTTTCACTATTTCACTATCTCCAGGTACCAGGTCCCACATAGCGTGGTACAGGGGATGTCTGGTGTCCGTCTCTTTCACTATTTCACTATCTCCAGGTACCAGGTCCCACATAGCGTGGTACAGGGGATGTCTGGTGTCCGTCTCTTTCACTATTTCACTATCTCCAGGTACCAGGTCCCACATAGCGTGGTACAGGGGATGTCTGGTGTCCGTCTCTTTCACTATTTCACTATCTCCAGGTACCAGGTCCCACATAGCGTGGTACAGGGGATGTCTGGTGTCCGTCTCTTTCACTATTTCACTATCTCCAGGTACCAGGTCCCACATAGCGTGGTACAGGGGATGTCTGGTGTCCGTCTCTTTCACTATTTCACTATCTCCAGGTACCAGGTCCCACATAGCGTGGTACAGGGGATGTCTGGTGTCCGTCTCTTTCACTATTTCACTATCTCCAGGTACCAGGTCCCACATAGCGTGGTACAGGGGATGTCTGGTGTCCGTCTCTTTCACTATTTCACTATCTCCAGGTACCAGGTCCCACATAGCGTGGTACAGGGGATGTCTGGTGTCCGTCTCTTTCACTATTTCACTATCTCCAGGTACCAGGTCCCACATAGCGTGGTACAGGGGATGTCTGGTGTCCGTCTCTTTCACTATTTCACTATCTCCAGGTACCAGGTCCCACATAGCGTGGTACAGGGGATGTCTGGTGTCCGTCTCTTTCGCCAGGAGAACCATGCTAAAACAGGACTCTATCTGCGACCTGACCATCTACGATATGAGCAACAAGTTTATAGGTACAGTGAACTGCTTGTTAACTGATTGTTAACTGCTCGTTAACTGCTTGTTAACTGCTTGTTAACTGCTTGTTAACTGTTTGTTAACTGCTTGTTAACTGCTTGTTAACTGCTTGTTAACTGCTTGTTAACTGCTTGTTAACTGCTTGTTAACTGCTTGTTAACTGCTTGTTAACTGCTTGTTAACTGCTTGTTAACTGCTTGTTAACTGCTTGTTAACTGCTTGTTAACTGCTTGTTAACTGCTTGTGAACTGCTTGTTAACTGCTTGTTAACTGCTTGTTAACTGCTTGTTAACTGCTTGTTAACTGCTTGTTAACTGCTCGTGAACTGCTTGTGGACTGCTTGTTAACTGCTTGTTTACTGCTTGTTAACTGCTTGTTAACTGCTTGTTAACTGCTTGTTAACTGCTTGTTAACTGCTTGTTAACTGCTTGTTAACTGCTTGTTAACTGCTTGTTAACTGCTTGTTAACTGCTTGTTAACTGCTTGTTAACTGCTTGTTAACTGCTTGTTAACTGCTTGTTAACTGCTTGTTAACTGCTTGTTAACTGCTTGTTAACTGCTTGTTAACTGCTTGTTAACTGCTTGTGAACTGCTTGTTAACTGCTTGTTAACTGCTTGTTAACTGCTTGTTAACTGCTTGTTAACTGCTTGTTAACTGCTTGTTAACTGCTTGTTAACTGCTTGTTAACTGCTTGTTAACTGCTCGTGAACTGCTTGTGGACTGCTTGTTAACTGCTTGTTTACTGCTTGTTAACTGCTTGTTAACTGCTTGTTAACTGCTTGTTAACTGCTTGTTAACTGCTTGTTAACTGCTTGTTAACTGCTTGTTAACTGCTTGTTAACTGCTTGTTAACTGCTTGTTAACTGCTTGTTAACTGCTTGTTAACTGCTTGTGGACTGCTTGTTAACTGCTTGTTAACTGCTTGTTAACTGCTTGTTAACTGCTTGTTAACTGCTTGTTAACTGCTTGTTAACTGCTTGTTAACTGCTTGTTAACTGCTTGTTAACTGCTTGTGAACTGCTTGTTAACTGCTTGTTAACTGCTTGTTAACTGCTTGTTAACTGCTTGTTAACTGCTTGTTAACTGCTTGTTAACTGCTTGTTAACTGCTTGTTAACTGCTTGTTAACTGCTTGTTAATTGCTTGTTAACTGCTTGTTAACTGCTTGTTAACTGCTTGTTAACTGCTTGTGAACTGCTTGTTAACTGCTTGTTAACTGCTTGTTAACTGCTTGTTAACTGCTTGTTAACTGCTTGTTAACTGCTTGTTAACTGCTTGTTAACTGCTTGTTAACTGCTTGTTAACTGCTCGTGAACTGCTTGTGGACTGCTTGTTAACTGCTTGTTTACTGCTTGTTAACTGCTTGTTAACTGCTTGTTAACTGCTTGTTAACTGCTTGTTAACTGCTTGTTAACTGCTTGTTAACTGCTTGTTAACTGCTTGTTAACTGCTTGTTAACTGCTTGTTAACTGCTTGTTAACTGCTTGTTAACTGCTTGTTAACTGCTCGTGAACTGCTTGTGGACTGCTTGTTAACTGCTTGTTAACTGCTTGTTAACTGCTTGTTAACTGATTGTTAACTGTTTGTTAACTGTTTGTTAATTGCTTGTTAACTGCTTTTAACTGCTTGTTAACTGCTTGTTAACTGCTTGTTAACTGTTTGTTAACTGCTTGTTAACTGCTTGTGCTTTAAAGTGTGAGAAGTGAACTATGCAGTTAAGTTCACAGTATATATTTTAATAATTGTAAACAAATATTTCAGGGTTCACTGGAACGTTCCCACCAGTTAAAGCTCTGTTAGTAGAATGGGGATCTCTTTATGTTATCGGCAAAAACAACGAGATCTATAAACTCAATGAGAAAGGTTTGACACTTTTTAGTCTTTTGTGAGAGTTGCTTGGTATTAGTAGTTTTGGAAATAATCACGTGATCTACGAAGAAGAACAGATCTGAGAATACGGGCATTTCTGAGAATACGGGCATTTCTGAGAATTAAACGGGCATTTCTGAGAATTAAACGGGCATTTTGATTGCAGGGATCCAAGAGAAGATAGATATCTTAAAGAGGAAATGTTTGTATGATGATGCTATACAGTTAGCTAAGAACAACCAGGACGATCACATGAACCTCATTAAGGCGCACGGTGATCATCTAGCTAGTAAAGGTAAATAAATATTATTATATATATTATATACAGGGTGGGCCAAAAGTCAGTACCCATACGTTGGCCTTAATAGCTCCGCCGTGTTTTATATTTGAGAGCTGTTGCTTTGCAGATGGCATACTGTACTTACTGGTTCGAGGATTCCGTCGTCAAAATTTGAAAATTCGAATATTTTAGACCACGCCCATTCAATATTAAAACACCTATATTGTTTTCTCTGAACATACTGAACGCCTAATTTTTTTCAGAGACGGTAGATTATCAAATGTTGCATATATGATCTGAAAACATGGGGCAAAACGGATTAGAAATGACGAAGTTATCAAGCATTTTCTGTATCTCGTTAACAATATTGACTGGGTGATTATGTGACACCGTGACACGACACCTTAATTGGGCACCCTTAACAATTCCCATAATGTTTAACGGGGTAGTTAACGGGGGCACCTTATCACGTGATTAGGTAAACCAATCACCTAATCACACGTAATGAATAAACTCGTTATGCTTCATATCTCGGTCATCTGAGAAGCTACAGTTCTAATTCTTTCAGGACAAACGTAATTCGAATGGCCAAACACAATTCAATAACATTTAGCTTGATCCGACTATCCAAACTATCAAATAAATGTGAAAATGAACCTCCATTTGAAAAAAATGAACGCGAATATTTTTCGAGTTGACAAATTCCTCGAACCAGTGGTGGTACTAAGTCATACCAGAAAGAAGTATTTAAATTGGGCACTCAGTGACTGAGCTATAAAGGCCAACGTATGGGTACTGACTTTTGGCCCACCAATATACAATATGTTGTTGTTGTAAAGACCCGTATAGAGCCACCTCTAAGGGCTTTGAGACAGTTTATTAAATATAATATAATAATCAATAATATCGAAAGTCGTTTCAAAATATTTTCAAACTCAAAGTTGAAATCACACTCACACTAAAAAGATCAATTATTTTGTCAAATAGTAAAAATTAAAAAAAACTCTCGACACATTACAGCACGTAAGCATGATTAGCATCAGCATGCCTTTCATTTTATTTGTACCACTTAAGTCCCAGAACCTTTTATCTTTTAATTCTGCTTGCTATAGTTTGTTATAATATACGGCTATTCTAATTTCTAGAAATTTTCAAGCGTGACGATGAAAATTTTATCACGAGAATTATCTTTAAGATTTTGTGCATTAAAAAGCCGCGCGGAGTGGGGTAAGGCTTGCTGTTATCAGCGCTTTGGCAGTGAAAAATATGCTGAAATATGTCAGTCCATTAAGCGAACGTTGTTTATTACTGCTCGTTTATTGTGTGTTTGCTGTCGTCCTATGTTATGTTATGTTATGATATGATGTCATGATTTAGCGATTATTGGTCGCTGTATTACTCAATCATCCCTCATCTATTGGACTTCCTCAAACCAGGTACGTTGTGTAGCAGAAATGCTGGCCAGCTGTCCTCTGAGTTAGCTAGTGTTGACTGTTGCTCAAGAAGCACGCGTTTTGCGTTCGATTTGTAAATATTTATTGAAAATAAGCTAGGTAGGGACGTGATGTTCTTGTTGGTGTCTGTTAGAGCTAGTAAAGGTCCTTTAAAAAAGATGGATGCTTTGAAACATCGGTTATTGTACGTATCTAGCCATTCGCTACTGTTCTCATGATTTGAACCATGCGTGGGTATGTTATCTGGAAACAAATTTCTAATTGATACAGGTACTGTGTTAGGAAAGTGCTTCATGCGGTGCATTAATGTAAGCGCATTCTTTACGATGATGCCGTGTATTGTCAAAATCTCAAATTTGCAGAATGCTTCTCTGGTGTGAGCTGGCAATTTGCCGTCTTTGTAAAAGTAATTTACATATCCTGGCATAACCATCCGCATTCCTTGCTTTTGTTTACGGAATAATGTCTCAATATATATTATATATTCTAGCATTTCATCTAGAATTCAAATAAATTCATTATATTATGGAGCCAGCACGGCTTCCATCCCACGACATTATACTCAAATAGTGTTAACCTGACACCTCCTCACTCTACTCTAACCAGTATATTCAAAAAAATTATAATTAATTAATTAATCAGTTATTAATTAATAAAATAAAACTCTTTACTCCCACCTCACTCTACTCTAACCAGGGGATCACGACGGAGCTATATCCAAGTATATCGGTACTATCGGTCACGTGGAGCCTTCCTATGTAATCAGGAAGTTTCTAGATGCTCGCCGTATTCATAACCTCACACAGGTACACCATCTCTTATTAATCTCTACATAACCTCACACAGGTACACCATCTCTTATTAATCTCTACATAACCTCACACAGGTACACCATCTCTCATTAATTTCTACATAACCTCACACAGGTACACCATCTCTTATTAATTTCTACATAACCTCACACAGGTACACCATCTCTTATTAATTTCTACATAACCTCACACAGGTACACTATCTCTCATTAATTTCTACATAACCTCACACAGGTACACCATCTCTTATTAATTTCTACATAACCTAATTCAGGTAGACCATCTCTTATTAATTTCTACATAACCTAATTCAGGTAGACCATCTCTTATTAATTTCTACATAACCTAATTCAGGTACACCATCTCTTATTAATTTCTACATAACCTAATTCAGGTACACCATCTCTTATTAATTTCTACATAACCTAATTCAGGTAGACCATCTCTTATTAATTTCTACATAACCTAATTCAGGTAGACCATCTCTTATTAATTTCTACATAACCTAATTCAGGTAGACCATCTCTTATTAATTTCTACATAACCTAATTCAGGTACACCATCTCTTATTAATTTCTACATAACCTAATTCAGGTAGACCATCTCTTATTAATTTCTACATAACCTAATTCAGGTAGACCATCTCTTATTAATTTCTACATAACCTAATTCAGGTACACCATCTCTTATTAATTTCTACATAACCTAATTCAGGTAGACCATCTCTTATTAATTTCTACATAACCTAATTCAGGTAGACCATCTCTTATTAATTTCTACATAACCTAATTCAGGTACACCATCTCTTATTAATTTCTACATAACCTAATTCAGGTACACCATCTCTTATTAATTTCTACATAACCTAATTCAGGTAGACCATCTCTTATTAATTTCTACATAACCTAATTCAGGTAGACCATCTCTTATTAATTTCTACATAACCTAATTCAGGTAGACCATCTCTTATTAATTTCTACATAACCTAATTCAGGTAGACCATCTCTTATTAATTTCTACATAACCTAATTCAGGTTCACCATCTCTTATTAATTTCTACATAACCTAATTCAGGTAGACCATCTCTTATTAATTTCTACATAACCTAATTCAGGTACACCATCTCTTATTAATTTCTACATAACCTAATTCAGGTACACCATCTCTTATTAATTTCTACATAACCTAATTCAGGTTCACCATCTCTTATTAATTTCTACATAACCTAATTCAGGTAGACCATCTCTTATTAATTTCTACATAACCTAATTCAGGTAGACCATCTCTTATTAATTTCTACATAACCTAATTCAGGTACACCATCTCTTATTAATTTCTACATAACCTAATTCAGGTAGACCATCTCTTATTAATTTCTACATAACCTAATTCAGGTTCACCATCTCTTATTAATTTCTACATAACCTAATTCAGGTACACCATCTCTTATTAATTTCTACATACTCACCTCAGGTACACCATCTCTTATTAATTTCTACATAACCTAATTCAGGTAGACCATCTCTTATTAATTTCTACATAACCTAATTCAGGTACACCATCTCTTATTAATTTCTACATAACCTAATTCAGGTAGACCATCTCTTATTAATTTCTACATATAACCTAATTCAGGTAGACCATCTCTTATTAATTTCTACATAACCTAATTCAGGTAGACCATCTCTTATTAATTTCTACATAACCTAATTCAGGTAGACCATCTCTTATTAATCTCTACATACTCACCTCAGGTACACCATCTCTTATTAATTTCTACATAACCTAATTCAGGTAGACCATCTCTTATTAATTTCTACATAACCTAATTCAGGTACACCATCTCTTATTAATTTCTACATAACCTAATTCAGGTAGACCATCTCTTATTAATTTCTACATAACCTAATTCAGGTAGACCATCTCTTATTAATCTCTACATAACCTAATTCAGGTAGACCATCTCTTATTAATTTCTACATAACCTAATTCAGGTACACCATCTCTTATTAATTTCTACATAACCTAATTCAGGTACACCATCTCTTATTAATTTCTACATAACCTAATTCAGGTAGACCATCTCTTATTAATTTCTACATAACCTAATTCAGGTAGACCATCTCTTATTAATTTCTACATAACCTAATTCAGGTAGACCATCTCTTATTAATTTCTACATAACCTAATTCAGGTAGACCATCTCTTATTAATTTCTACATAACCTAATTCAGGTACACCATCTCTTATTAATTTCTACATAACCTAATTCAGGTTCACCATCTCTTATTAATTTCTACATAACCTAATTCAGGTAGACCATCTCTTATTAATTTCTACATAACCTAATTCAGGTACACCATCTCTTATTAATTTCTACATAACCTAATTCAGGTACACCATCTCTTATTAATTTCTACATAACCTAATTCAGGTAGACCATCTCTTATTAATTTCTACATAACCTAATTCAGGTACACCATCTCTTATTAATTTCTACATAACCTAATTCAGGTAGACCATCTCTTATTAATTTCTACATAACCTAATTCAGGTAGACCATCTCTTATTAATCTCTACATAACCTAATTCAGGTACACCATCTCTTATTAATTTCTACATAACCTAATTCAGGTAGACCATCTCTTATTAATTTCTACATAACCTAATTCAGGTATACCATCTCTTATTAATTTCTACATAACCTAATTCAGGTAGACCATCTCTTATTAATTTCTACATAACCTAATTCAGGTACACCATCTCTTATTAATTTCTACATAACCTAATTCAGGTAGACCATCTCTTATTAATTTCTACATACTCACCTCAGGTACACCATCTCTTATTAATTTCTACATAACCTAATTCAGGTAGACCATCTCTTATTAATTTCTACATAACCTAATTCAGGTAGACCATCTCTTATTAATTTCTACATAACCTAATTCAGGTAGACCATCTCTTATTAATTTCTACATAACCTAATTCAGGTACACCATCTCTTATTAATTTCTACATAACCTAATTCAGGTAGACCATCTCTTATTAATTTCTACATAACCTAATTCAGGTAGACCATCTCTTATTAATTTCTACATAACCTAATTCAGGTACACCATCTCTTATTAATTTCTACATAACCTAATTCAGGTAGACCATCTCTTATTAATTTCTACATATAACCTAATTCAGGTAGACCATCTCTTATTAATTTCTACATAACCTAATTCAGGTAGACCATCTCTTATTAATTTCTACATAACCTAATTCAGGTAGACCATCTCTTATTAATTTCTACATAACCTAATTCAGGTAGACCATCTCTTATTAATTTCTACATACTCACCTCAGGTAGACCATCTCTTATTAATTTCTACATAACCTAATTCAGGTAGACCATCTCTTATTAATTTCTACATAACCTAATTCAGGTACACCATCTCTTATTAATTTCTACATAACCTAATTCAGGTAGACCGTCTCTTATTAATTTCTACATAACCTAATTCAGGTAGACCATCTCTTATTAATTTCTACATAACCTAATTCAGGTAGACCATCTCTTATTAATTTCTACATAACCTAATTCAGGTACACCATCTCTTATTAATTTCTACATAACCTAATTCAGGTAGACCATCTCTTATTAATTTCTACATAACCTAATTCAGGTAGACCATCTCTTATTAATTTCTACATAACCTAATTCAGGTAGACCATCTCTTATTAATTTCTACATAACCTAATTCAGGTAGACCATCTCTTATTAATTTCTACATAACCTAATTCAGGTAGACCATCTCTTATTAATTTCTACATAACCTAATTCAGGTAGACCATCTCTTATTAATTTCTACATAACCTAATTCAGGTAGACCATCTCTTATTAATTTCTACATAACCTAATTCAGGTAGACCATCTCTTATTAATTTCTACATAACCTAATTCAGGTACACCATCTCTTATTAATTTCTACATAACCTAATTCAGGTACACCATCTCTTATTAATCTCTACATAACCTAATTCAGGTAGACCATCTCTTATTAATTTCTACATAACCTAATTCAGGTAGACCATCTCTTATTAATTTCTACATAACCTAATTCAGGTAGACCATCTCTTATTAATCTCTACATACTCACCTCAGGTACACCATCTCTTATTAATTTCTACATAACCTAATTCAGGTAGACCATCTCTTATTAATTTCTACATAACCTAATTCAGGTAGACCATCTCTTATTAATTTCTACATAACCTAATTCAGGTACACCATCTCTTATTAATTTCTACATAACCTAATTCAGGTAGACCATCTCTTATTAATTTCTACATAACCTAATTCAGGTAGACCATCTCTTATTAATTTCTACATAACCTAATTCAGGTAGACCATCTCTTATTAATTTCTACATAACCTAATTCAGGTACACCATCTCTTATTAATTTCTACATAACCTAATTCAGGTAGACCATCTCTTATTAATTTCTACATAACCTAATTCAGGTACACCATCTCTTATTAATTTCTACATAACCTAATTCAGGTTCACCATCTCTTATTAATTTCTACATAACCTAATTCAGGTAGACCATCTCTTATTAATTTCTACATAACCTCACACAGGTAGACCATCTCTTATTAATTTCTACATAACCTAATTCAGGTACACCATCTCTTATTAATTTCTACATAACCTAATTCAGGTACACCATCTCTTATTAATTTCTACATAACCTAATTCAGGTAGACCATCTCTTATTAATTTCTACATAACCTAATTCAGGTACACCATCTCTTATTAATTTCTACATAACCTAATTCAGGTAGACCATCTCTTATTAATTTCTACATATAACCTAATTCAGGTAGACCATCTCTTATTAATTTCTACATACTCACCTCAGGTAGACCATCTCTTATTAATTTCTACATAACCTAATTCAGGTAGACCATCTCTTATTAATTTCTACATAACCTAATTCAG